AGAATTGAGAGCTTTAAATAAAAAAACAGAAAAAAACGCACAAAAGAAAAGTTATAAAAAAATATTATGCTTGTTGAGGATTTGTTATACGTGCACTAAAAAGTTTTCAAAAATACTTTTGTAAATACCAAAACAAGCTTTTTTGTTTTTCCATAGTCATCCTAACAGTTTCTCCGCGCGCGGTGCGATTTCGCGGACTCGATTCACTCGTAAAACTCGCGGCTTACACGTACTCTGAACGGAGCGTGTAACAATGATGTGCACGCGCGCAATACGTGACAAGCAAGCGAAGCGCAATTCGATCCAATTAAGACCGCCGTCGTCTATTCCACGTTTCTTTCCCATTTCGATATGCAAATCCATTAATAAACCACGGTCAGAGCGGACGGTCAGTCTACGTGAAATCACAGACAAACCAGAGCCTTTAACTTTCGAAAACGCGTTATATCGAAGCTGGTTCTCTCTCTTCCTCCCTCTTTCTTGCACTCCTGACTGTCTTTAGCAAGTTACCGGCAATCTCGCCCGCAGCGAGCGTTTTACTAAGCATAAGCGTTTGCATAACCCAAGATTGACTTTAAGTTCGCTAACCCACCCGCATCCTCTCGCACAAGCGAACTTCGAAGCGTGGCGCGACGCGCGTCTTGCTCGAAGGGAGAGGAAGAGGGGAAAGTACGCACGTTAAGCCGCAACTAAGCGCGCAAACCCTTCCGTTCCCCGGAGGGTGGCGAGGATATGGATGATGCCGTGCCGCCTCTGCGACGGAGACAGTCCCCTCGGGCTGTGTCCGAATGTCCGCGCGCGTTACCGCAGTATGGCGAAACTATCTTCCGGGAATTATTAACAAATACGCGAACGCGCTCATGCGACCGGTAGTGGCACGTCGAATGCGAGATGAGACCAATCCTCCCCCCAAGGAAGTTACCCTGCGGTCCTCTTTAATACATTTGCATCCGTAAACTGTCCGCGTGCAATATACTGACCGGCGGTATGTCGGCGAGAGACATTGTGTGTGAGCCGATTTGCGTGCGGCTCATAGAATCCTTAACGTATTTCCATTTATTCAAATCCAATTGTGTACATAAAAGTACAGAAACGATACGGAGCGTGTTCATTTCGTTCCCGATAAATATATGCACATTTATAATAGTTTGCGATTGAAAAATATTACTTTAAAAGTGAAATGTTAATCGCGGTTACATGTCGTTTATATACAAAAGGAAGGAATCAATTAAACGCGCGGGTGTACACACACACACACATACACACGTGTATATAAATAATGGAATAAACACACACAAGTTCGTATGCTCTTCTATCTCTGGCGCGACAAAATAAAATTTGATACCTATGAGTTTCCAATATATTGCAGAAAGATACACGCAGTTGCTGGCATTTTAAATCCAATACAATAACAACGTACACAGCTGTGTTTTCAATGCTCTCTTCTAAAACAATACTACTCGAAAAACAACAGCTTGGATGTCGGTCCCTTGTTACATAACTACGCGCGATCGACAAATAATTTGCGGTCCGTGCGCGAAAGCCGACATTTTTGCTTTGAATATCGCGTGCGTTATATATATATATATATATTATATATATATATATATATTACGCGCGGACGAAAAATCAGCGAGCGTTCTATCGACCGCGAGCGTTTATGCGGACGGATAAAAGTTTCGAGCCGGAAAATTCCGCGATCCGCGGCGCGAGAACATTTGCGCGAGATTACTCGAAGATCTGTGTGTTTCCGACGCGGAATTTAAAACTTGCCAACTTCATTTTTCGTCGAAACAAACTTCGCCAACGAGTATTCCATCCGCCGAAAAGTGACTTTATAACCCGCGCGTTCCTTTATCGCGCCGCCTTTTACTTCACTTCGACCTCTGTCTGCTCCGACAAATCCACATGTGGATGTATATGCACATGGACATATGTAGCGCGCCACACGCACAGATCTAATCCCGAAAGTTACGCCGTAAATGCGCCACGTGACTACTCGGAATGTTGAACTAACGGATTTTGCCCAAATGCACATACGCGCGCATGTGTTGCAAGCTAATAGAGTCGTCGCGCCTCGGCTCTGTATTCTTAGGAATTATAGTCACGCTCGGGAAATCGTGTAGAGAAACCGCGCCGCTTCGCGAATTTCCACGGACAATAAACAAGTCTATTCCGCGCAAATAAACGCGTTTGAGTAACACGTGGAGCAGACAATGAAATCACAAAGGGAACGTAAAATCCGCGAGAAAGGTCCTTTTCCGAAAACATTTCTTGCAAACTTTGCTTTCTCGAAACAGAGGGAATGTTCGCAACTATAATACACGCCGACGAACGTTCGACGAACCGAATTGTTCCCCCGTCTCTTACTTTCACATAACGGATTGTATTGTCCTTATTAGTTATGCGCGATGATTGAATTGTACGCAATAGATGCAGCCCGCACCGTCAACATGTTCATTGGGTTATCGAATTGGTGGCGTTTGAGGATGGTTACGTTACAACGGCATGTGCGGCTGTTGGCGATATTACACGGAATTTCCGGTTACACCCGAGACTATCGGTTGACTCAAAGCGTAGCTCAATGAATACAACATATCTGGAATAGATGCCAATAATTGAAGAGACATTAATGTTAACCACTGAACTATGTGTCACGCTAGAATACCTGCGACATCACGTGCCCGCTGCGCGGACTGTACAATTCACTGAGAAATATTACGCTTCTGTTTGATTTAGGTCAATATTACATCGTCGATAATATATGAAAAAAAAACATATGCTAGATAGCAAGATTTTGTTTTACTAACAAAACGTTTTGTTAATGAAACAAAAAATTCATTAAACTCAAGTGTATAATAGCAAAAATTTTTTCCGTAATAATTTAGAAATAATTCTGTATCACATTGTCGAAAATTATTCTTTACACTCGCAAGATTATTTTTTACAATTGTGGTTTGTTAGATGAATTTTAATTTTTCGAGATAAAACAGTGAACATGTTGCAAAATAAAAATGTGCTGAAAGGATTACTGCGCAGAGAGAAATTTTTTTCTCCAAGATTTCAAGTTTCTACGACGGTCAACGATAATACCAATTGCCGCGAGCAAGAACGGCGTGATCAAGGAAGTGACATGTGAAGCTTGGATGAGATGGAAGAATCGAAACGACGAAAAGAGTACGGGAAAAGAACGGAAACACGGAGTGACCGAGAAGGTGAGTCGTTAAATATTTCACGGTTCGAGTGGAAGTATCATCTCGAGCTGCCAAAGGGAGGGAAAAGTCGGTCGATGGAGAACGAGACTGGTCGGCAAGTGGGATGCGGGTGAAATAACGGCTAAATAAGTAAACGACGGCGTACGTTGTAAGGCGTGCGCTGCCGTCTGGAAAATGTAAACTCGATCGGGCAGCTCTCGTATCGCGAAATTGACAGCCTGGGCACTTTATCATTGATATCGAAACTCACGAGAAACATGTCAGAAATGTCCGCCGAATAAGACAAGGGGTGGCTTGTCATTTCTGATATAGCGGTGTGGCCGCGCGCCAACACAACGGAAATAACGCGATCGCAGAAAAGTTTTGCGTTCGACAAAATAGAAGAATTCGAAGTGAGAAACACCTTTGCTGAATAACTTGCGCTAGAAAATATTTGGAAAAATACCCCCCACCACTGGAAAATTATTTCTTATTTATAACAACGTTTGTTTACATGAAGTGAAAAAGGACAATAATAATGTCAGTTTGACATTATACAAACAGTGCTGTTAGAAGTTTCTAAAATGTAAGATTTAAACGACCAAATAATTTTGTATCATTTCTCCGTGTTAGAAAAAAAACTACAATAAATTAACGATTATTTCGCAAGAATATCATGGATGTCCGAAGGCACAAATTGAAATTATTCATTAATACCATGTCAATTTTGACGTGCATCTGCTGTATCATACGATATGCTGTCAATCGATAATCCATGACATATATTCCGACAGTGAAAATAACATCGCGTGTGCATCGCGAATTTTGACAATGTGTATTATAGACAATTACGCTCGATTAATATAAAATAAAATTTAATTTTAAAATTGTCAATGCAAAATCATTAATAATTATACTACTGTTTCATGTGAATCAATCATCTGTGTCAAAATTTATATGGAATAATTGTTTAACAAAAATAGTGATAAAATCTTATGACAATTTTAGCAAGCGGTAATTTATATATCTATGTAATATATTAAATCTCTGCGCATTACTTGTATAAAATGCTGTTACTTATTATATTGGTTTGGTTACCTTCCACTGTAAACGTAAAAAAAGAGAGAAAGCATGTTACAAACATTTGTCGAAGATGAACATGATGAAAGTTTTAATTTATTTAGAGAAGTGCATATTCTGTCTCGCGAAATAAACTACTTTTGCTAAAGTGGACAAAACTAACTACTCTTTCGTTAAAGTTGGCGAAATGCGCGGGGAGGCGGGGAGGCAGCAATAAACAGAATTCATTGCTTCCACAAGGTGCGGAAGTTGTCGCTTCCGCGATGTAGTTGTTACGCGGCGTGTTTACCGGTTAGACACGCATAAAAAGCGCCACTTTGTTCTCGCTCTGTTTTTTCCTTTTTTTTTTTAAGTTTTTTGCAGCGCACGCGATTCTTGCATACAACATGACGAGAACGGTCTCCGGACTGTTGACCACAGGCGGCGCCGCCGGCAATTCGGTCCATGGCAGATCTCACGCATTTCATGGCATAACGCCTGGCCCTCTTTTCCTCGCTCTTGCTTCCGCTATTCACCTCGTTAGAGACGAAACGAGCAAAATTAATACACCGTGGCGAAATCGTCGCCGTTCCTCGTCGACTGTAAAATTGACCGCTCCGTCTGTCTGTCGCATAAATTTGTGCACGTCTCTATCAGTCTATTTTGCTCGTTTGCTTTATCACTATTTTTGTTACACACATCTTGTTGGAGTGAAAGATCTTATCTATAATATTGCTATGAACTCACCTTTTCTCTTCTGTAGCCAGTGTAGCCTCGTGTCGTGAATCTGGAAGTCGAATTTTTCACTGAACACACTCATGGACGCGCATAGAAAATGGCGACGCGGCGCCAAACGTCGCGGCCAAAGAAACGCGAGAAAAACAACCCCCGACAACTCAACACTACGCTCGACCGTCGCGAATTTGCGCGAGACAACGCGTCACTCGCGATTGTTGGCACTGCGTTACACATTTGAGACAACGTTCGCATTCGATATTCACACAAGAATCTCGTTTTTTTGGGAGAAAAACGTGACCGTCCGTCACTATTGACAGAAAACTACGAATGTCTCAATCGGCTATCTTCATACGTCGTCGGGTAGTTCAAACGCGCGAAAGCGTCCGACGGCATTCGCATTGCGACGGCGGCGCACGAAGAACAATCGATTTGTGATCGAAGTAAACGCGACAGAAATAATTCATTTAATGTCTCTGATTTGTTTTATCGGATGGATCTTTCAGTCACATTTTCCAAAAAGCACTCGCAGATGCACGCAGGAAATGACGACGAGACCCGAAAAACACACAAGGAATCTGTAATATAATCGTCAACACTATACTCGCAAACTCGCGGAAAATAATATGTCGCAATTGTTGATTGCATTTTACATTTGAAACATCAATCGTACTCGATATTTGCACAAGAATCTCTTCATTTTCGGTAGAAAAATGCGATCGTCCATCATAAATATCACAATTGATAATGAACTCAACAAATATCTCAATTGTTTATCGTCGTGCGTCGTCGAACAGTTCGAGCGCGCGAAAACAAGCTCGGCGTTCTTCGAGCGCTTTCGGGCCGAAAGCTGCTGAGTTGCGACGGCAGCGTACGAAGAGCAATCGACCGGCGATCGCTAGTTGATTTATCCGTTTCTTCTGACTTATTATCGTCGATAGATCAATTATACAACGCACAATATGCGGCAGCGTGCTTCCGTACTGTTCCTGAAAGTAATCGAAGTGAATAACACGCAAAAATTCTCGATGCAAGAAGGTAAGAACACGAAAACAGTGAAAGTGACCATACAGCCTATGTTATTTTGTCCACGGATGGAAGTGGTGAGACCTGTTAATTCTGGCCTGTCTCAAGTTAATACGAAAACAGTGAATTTACTGTGTACACCGGCGTATCGTCGCGCCTCGCCATTTTGTTTTGTTTTGACTCGTTGCGTACGTTCGCGTATCCGAATTCCTCGAATAGAATTTTGTGCAGTAAACAACTATCAATATTTCGTTTCCGTACTTTCTTCGCGAGTGTGTTACGTGCGAGTGAAAATTGATATCGGGATTGAATTGATTTCGCAAGCTATCGGAAGCGTGAAGTGATCAAGTGGAAATCGACGTGTATGAAACAAATAGGTACGTATAAAAGTTACAGACAATGCAATTCTGATGAGATTGTTTGAACAAAAGATATAAAAAGTTCTGAAATGTACGCTCGAAAATCAGAGTTTTATGATTTGTTTTCATAGCTTGTACATGATAAACTTTCGTTTTCGCGTGGAATTTATTTAGATATTTACATGTTTTCGAGATTGTTAACATACACCATGTTTTTAACTGCAGTTTCACGAGCAAACAGAGTGACCGTTCCACAACAACAATATTGGACTGCAAGATGTTGGAGGCGGAAAGAAAGCTCGTTTGAATTAAAATCTTATAAGTCATCGCTGCGTGACGTTAACCGCAATCCGTGGAGACTAACATTTTAACATCGGTCTTCCCACTTACATTCCCGGCCGTCGGCAGTGAGGGAAAAAATATAACGCACTCTGCAGAGGACATAACTCGATCTGACAGGTGAGCTCCATTATCCTCCTGTAGAAGGAACAATACATCTTCTCGCTACACACACTCGGCTCTTTCCCTGTCATCCTCGCTGCTTATATCTTTTTCCCTTCACCCATCTTTTATCCATCGCGCGCCGCCGTCCACATCGGCTGGCACAAGTCAGTCTTATCCCTTATTATTTATCCCGGTCATAGTGTTTTGACGGACGTGTAAAAACAGCTGTTAGATTCGCGCGCGCGCGCGCGTGAAATTCAAAACTCGTGCGACAAAAATAAAAGTTTACACTGAGTTATTGCGAAAACAAAACGATAGATGGAACTTGTGGGAATTGCGCGTATCGGATCACAAAGTGATTTTTTGAGAAGAACCTCGTAAGGTTATTCAAAAAATTCGAAATTACCGCATACTTATTACAACGATCGCCGCCTATCAGCTCAGAGGAAACGACGGGGCACAAATATCGCGGAGCAATCTCTATACTTCTTGCCTCGATAATATTAGATCCCGTGCCACATGTTTTCTCATAAAATGAGATCGGGGGCGCGTACTTCAAACGGAATGCTCGGCAGCGGCATGGCCCGGGCGCACGGGGGAGAGACATCATATTCAAAGGATATATACCCTGTGTTATACACGGTAAGAAAACCGTATATATACGCGCGTGCAGTCTAGTTCGCGATGAAAACTCGGAGTCGTGCATTTATCGACGGTATTACCGGTCCAGAGGTCGCCGTGATTGCATCTTGAGACTGTCGTAGGAAAGTCTTTCGCATGATTGCCGTAAATTGGATCTCACGTGATCAGTCAATGCCGTAGAAAATGCGCGCGTACTGGGTGAGTTCAGAGAATTTTATTTTGAAAAAACACGCGTGGAGTTTTGACAGGGGAATTGTGAAATATTTTATAAAAAATTATTTGAGTTGCGTATGTTCTTTACTTTCTGACTGTTCAATTTGAACGTAACGATATTATGAACGTTACGGCGACCGAGTTAACCGCGTTTGCGGAGTTAATCATGGCGCAGGATTGACTTTGTTGTTCTTGTGAAAATCAATTTGGAGGCTGCGGAATGCGAGCTCGATCCGCTATAAATTCGCGCCCGGTCGATTGAAATTGCGCTCACGTTTCGCGATGCATTATAATGCATTTTCTACGTTGCGCGAGGGCGTGACAGTTGTTATGGTTCGATTGATTTGTCGTTGTATATATGAACTGCCGCATGTACAAGCACATACAAACACACACACACGTACACAGCGATACTAGCAGAAAGGCGCGAAGAAAAGCTTCGTTCTCGGCCCGATCCTGCCCGTACGAATAAATTTTGCACGATAATCTTTCGTCGCATTCGCTGCGCGATATCGACGACGTTCTTCTTTGCGCGTCCCTTTCCCTCTCATCACATACGCGTTAGAAAAGCTCGACGGGAAACGTGTAGAGTGAATGGCGTAAATTGAGACACGCTTCGATACATCGCTCGATAATAGTAGCAAACTGACGAGGAGCGTTTTTATTACGCGCGCGAAAACGTTGCGGGCGTGAGACATTCGCGAGTAAAAAAAAAAGTGTGTCAATGATTTTTCCGCCTGTCTCTTTTTGTTGCACGGCGATACTTTTACGTTATTAAAATAATAACATTGCAAATGATATATTTCTGACTGCGATCCATCATTTAAGTTCTTTTCATGCTTTCTTCTCTTCCGCGGTTAATAAAAAAAAAAAAAAGAAAAAAATTTCCGTAATACGCGAAAGAACGGAGCTTCGAGAAGATTGACATGTGCCAGAGCAAAATCGCCGCCCCTTCAAATAAATTTCACACGATAATCTTTCACGATGCTCGCGTGAGCGACGGGTCCGCGTTAGGCTGCATTTTCTTTCTTCGCACGTTCGCACGAGTTGCATCGAGAAAGTTTAGTCGCGCGTGCGTGCGGTGGATTGAATGCGCCAAATTGGCGTGCTATTTGATTGGCACAAATCACCGGCGAACTTCGCGCTCGTATCGGAATCGATGAAGGAAGCCCGAGAGAAAATCACTTTTATTATTCATGCCGCGCGCGTCATAATCTAATCTCCGCTCCTATAATCTATTCTCATTCAATACTATGTGAGAGGTGGTAATTTGCATATATCGATAATGCTATATAAAAATATTAATTTAATTAAATAAATATACGGGCACAAAGTCTATCCGCGAGCAAGTACGTGTCGCCATTCCGGCGATTCTTTTTTTTTACAATATTTACATAAAATTAAGTATAGAATAACAATTACATATAAAAGATTGAATATTTATTAGTTAACGTAATTATGTGATAATAAGTTTTATCACTCAAAAAGATATGTGTATAAAATATACGCGTAGTTATGGACATGTTTCTCTTTTTTTTTTTAATTTATGAGTTACAGAACAAAAGTCTCTCATTTCTTGATAATATAATATTCTACGCACGCGTATAATCAATCGGTGTTCGTTCGAGCGTGAATATAGCAAAACCCATACGATCTGCGCGCGATGCGAATAGGCAGAATGACAGGCATTCATGTACATGATCATGATGCACCGTGCAAACTGTTTGGTATCCCATTGATTTTATGTTACCTTTTTGATAGAACGATGGATTGGCATTTCTATATTCAGAATTGACATTCCTTTCCCGGAATTGATATTTCGTTCAAGGTTGGCACGGAAATCAGTAGAAAAAAATGTATACGCACACACACACGCGCGCGCGAATATTAAATATTATCTATCCACAAAAATTTTCTAATATTTTCAAACTCTATATTTGAAAAACGATAGAAATCAATGTTTTAATCTTGCGTTGAAGATTAAAACATTGACAAAAATAAACCAAACCAGAATTCTCAATCGTGTATACATGCGGACTTGGAATATCCTGTTAGTTTGATATACACAATTCTGTATATTTCTCGCGGAATTTCTCGCGAACGTCGGACGGAACTGATGAGGACGCGCGACGGAAAGCGCGCGGCGCAATTTACCGAGATAAAAGGTAATTCCGATTATTAATGACACTATTCCTTTTGCGCGTAAAGAATTCTGCAAGGATTCCGTGTTTCGCTCGATATCTTGCGGGATTAATAATACAGAGAGGTGGCGCGTCGGTAGAGGGGAAAGAAGGAAAGGGTGGCACAGAGGGCAGGCGGCAGAGGGAAACGATAAATTGCTCCGTAGCTCCGCACTTAGCCTCCGAGATACCGGCGGAACTCCTCGCTACCGATATCCTAAATTTACATCGTCGACCGGGAGAATCTTTCGTGAGAATTTCATTGCGCGAATCGCGCAAGAAGCCGAGAAAGGGGGATGGGCGCCCGGCCGGTAATTCACTTCGCGAGCACGAATCTCGAGAAGGTTATCTTATCCGCTTCTCGCCCCGGTCGTTTACTCCCAAACACATTCTGTAAACGTTCCCGAGTACATTGATCTCCAGTTTCCCGCTAAAAAGCTCGCCGAGCCAATGCATTTTGGCAATAAAATTTTCTTATCCTTTTAACAGAACCTTCGCGCCGGTGATTCTTGCCCGTCAGTAAAAGAACATTGTTCCGCGCGCTTTTGAGGAAATTAGCGATTTTCATAACTTCTTCCCACTCGAGGGCTAATTTACTCCAATATCATCGTTGTAATATAATAAAATTAATAATACTAACAGCTTTATAGTATCGCTAATATCACAATTAATCGATATTTCAACGCAATGAGCAGGCAAAAAGAAAAAGTATCAGGAAGACTCAGCTTCAACGTGTGAGGTGCATCGCTCAAAATAATTGAGATTTCTGGCGATGAACTAGAAACGATATTACTCCCGGAAATGTATTATTGCGTTCCGCGATATAAGCCGCTCGTCAACATCTTTGATCTGTTAAAGCCAATTTTGTTAATGAGAAGTTATAATTATTAAACTCGGAAGGGCCCCCCGGAGCGATTTATACGGGATCGTTCGTAAGTCGGACGGTTTAAGACGGATTTTCCGGAAAGCCGTTTGTTGCGCTGTATCTCGCAGCGGCCAATTCACTCTGGAAATGACGATGGTCAGATAGTAGAAGAGAACGGGGGCGCAGAGAGAGAGAGAGAGAGAGAGAGGATCGCGGATAGGATAGGAGATGATTGTCGGAAAGAGAGAAACCCTATATCT